CTCTCTTCCCCGACAGTGTTGTGAACGCCGCCATTTTGGCGCTTGTGCAGAGCAGGCGCAACTGCCGATCGTCAGGATTCAAAAGTGCGACATCCTCAGCATTAGATTCGGTGTTAGAAAGCTCATGTAATGTTGCTTTGCTTTGTCGCAAACTGTTTAAAGTGGAGGACGGAAAAGCGTTTCTTGTGATTTCAGATAAAGCTTCAAATAACTGGCAACCATGATTTTAAGCCACAATAAGGCCAAGTGTCGCTACTCTGAAGCGTAGCTTGTTTAATAACGCTATTCATGCTCTTGTTCAAGAGGCTTGTAATACCTGGAGGGGCCATGACGTAAGCCCCGTGGATTCCACAAGCCACTACCTTTTGACACCTGCCTCTTCTTCAATGTTCCCGCTTGTGCCTGTAAATTAGCTACGGTTCAGAGTAACGGCACTTGGCCATATTGTGGCTTAAAATCATGGTTGCCAGTTATATGAAGCTTTATCTAAAATCACAGGAAACGCTTTTCCGTCCCTCACAAATGTTTAAACAACCCGCGACAAAGCATTGCAATATTGCATCAGCTTCCTAGCACCGCATCTAATGCTGAGGAAGTCGTACTTTTGGATCATGATGATCGGCAGTTGCGTTTGCTCTGAGCGAAACCCAAAATGGCGGCGCCCAAAACAATTTTGGGGAACGGAGTGCCGATACTTTAAAGCTCATTTAGTGACTCTAGGCATACAGTGAACTCGAGTGTATTCTTTTCCTCTTCGTCTTCATTGTTTATTGATTTCAATCGTATCGAATAATGAACACATTATATCACGCTACGCTTGTGTAATTATTTGTCTTAGATTTATTAGCATGACCCAGTACTTAAACCATTCAGTTATCGATAGTAAATCTTCCAATATATTTTTTAAATGTGAGGGTAAAAAGACACGGAGATTGATGATGATACAGACGCCAACGCCGCCCTCGGAAATTTTTTTTAACATTAGAAATCAGCAGTTTATCTGCCAAACGCCAGGTAGCGCAACAAAACACCCAAACAGTTTTTAAATGTTTTTAAAATTAGCTAAGCTCTACACCTATTACGAAACCAAAGCAAGATCATTGTCACAATTTAATACATCGCAATGTATATCTATTCCAAACAATAAACATTATTAGATGCCAATAAATCTGTTTGATGTCCAAAAAAGATATGCGTCAAAACAGGTAAGTTTTAAACGCTCCTGGAGCGTTATGACTTTGAAAAATGAAAAAAAAAAAACCATCGTCCACCTCTTGGGCAACCATTGTAGCTCTAAATGTTATAAAAGTTTTTATCATAGTTTAATTATTTCCTCAGCGGCATTTGAAGTACCATGACTCGAAGCACAAAAAAGTGCTACGTTTGATATAAAATATCTAAACAAAACAATTTTACACAGCATTAAATTTTTTTCTGCATATTACCAATTATAAGCACTACATTTCTAGCTAATTTCATTGCCCTAGCGCATGTCATTAAAAACATATTTGTGTTGAAAAATGTAAATTTTAGGGCAATATTTGGAGGGATGAAAGAAACAAAGTAGTGCAAATACCAAAAAAGTGTATCGTTACATTCTGCTCCGACATCATAACAAAACTGCTATATTGGAACGTGTTATCTTTAATGGATCGTTCATAAAACATGAACTAGCGGAGCAAGTGAGGGTCCGCGCCATCATATTCGCAACGCTACAAATGCGCATGAACAGTAAAAACCAATACGTACATAATATCAAATGAAAAGGATTGCATTGCCTTTCGAATGACATCAATCCCACAAAACAGTATTTAAAAGGAGATGAGTAATGACCTGCCAAAAAGTACCTAAACTGCCACAGATGCAACAATTTTTGTACTTTGCGCAAATACCGCTTAAAACGGATCCCTAACGTTAATGACCTATGAAACACGCGTTCGTTTTTCACCCCACGCAATAGGAGTCCCAGAAAAAAAATTAAAGAAAAACGAGCAGCGTTCACCTTCTCAACTCGCAGCCAGAACAAGCGGCCACGTGATCTGGAGCCGATTATATGCCGCCAGTGTTGATCATAGCCACGCGCTGGGGTTGGCAAAGCGCAGGACACGCGCTGAGTTCCAGACACTGTTAGGGCTTGGCTGTTGTCGTCGTTGCAGCGATTGGACACGGGTCACTACCCGAATGCTTCTCGAGCTAGCAATTATCACGAGCCCAAGTCGAGTGCCCACGCAATGCTCGGGTACAATCTATGAACCGCATTGAAATATCGTCACTTGGGTGTACTGCGATCCCCACGTTACGTCATAAAATTTTGCAAAGGAGAGATTGAATGAAATTGACCGCTTTTGTCCTTGAAATTACACCGCAACAAAGGAGTTTCTTGGCCAGTGGCGTTGCGTGTGAGTATCCTTGAGTCCCAGGTGTGCCAGTAAGCTCGTGTCAAGTGAAAAACATTCCAATTGAATATCGTTGCACCGCTCCTTTAAGAGCTATACTTCGTTTCAGCTTCGGTCCAGACGCAACCGATGTTACAAGCGCGAGCATGTGGCCCAGGACAGTGCTTGCACTGCACGAGCGCGCGTGCTCGGCAGGGATGCTGAACGCCCGGAGCTCGCACTTATAGCTTTGGCTGCGTCTGGACCGAAGCCGAAACGAAGTATAGACCGATCTCATTAAAGAAGCGGTGCAACGATATTCAATTGGAATGTTTCTCACTTGACACGAGCTTACTGGCACACCTGGGACTCAAGGATACTCACACGCAACGCCACTGGCCAAGAAACTCCTTTGTTGCGGTGTAATTTCAAGGACAAAAGCGATCATTTTCATTCAATCTCTCCTTTGCGAAATTTGATGACGTAACGTATGGATCGCAGTACACCCAAGTGACGATATTTCAATGCGGTCCATAGATTGTACCCGAGCATTGCGTGGGCACTCGACTTGTGCTCGTGATAATTGCTAGCTCGAGAAGCATTCGGGTAGTGACCCGTGTCCAATCGCTGCAACGACGACAACAGCCAAGCCCTAACAATGTCTGGAACTCAGCGCGTGTCCTGCGCTTTGCCAACATCAGCGCGTGGCTATGATCAACACTGGCGGCATATAATCGGCTCCAGATCACGTGGCCGCTTGTTCTGGCTGCGAGTTGAGGGGGTGAACGCTGCTCGTTTTTCTTTAATTTTTTTCTGGGACTTCTATTGGCGACGTGCGCGACCGAAAGCGTCGCTGTGGTCGGCCTTCCACGATTGGCCCAAAAGCTGTCTGTGACGTCGGAAAGGGTATACCATCGACGGAAATAAGAGGAATGAAAGAACTTTAATTTCGACGGTGTTGGCAGTGTTGTTTTGAGAGCGCAATGATTTCAGGCTTCCACCATGCTATTTACAGATACCACCGAACTTGTTGTTTGCAAGGTAATGACGTCACAAGGGGGAACCGTAGGAGGGCGCCACCAAAACATCTCGCCGCTAATTGCGTGGGGTGAAAAACGAACGCGTGTTTCATAGGTCATTAACGTTAGGGATCCGTTTTAAGCGGTGTTTGCGCAAAGTACAAAATTTTTTGCATCGCTCCTTTAAGTGTTGGGCGCATGCGTGAAGCCGCCATAACGTTAGTTCACAGGATACAGAGCTCCAGCAAAGTTGTCGCACGTGTTCCCTCGATGCATCGCGGCAGCGGTGGCGTAACCAAACTGTGAGAAAAAAAAACAAACAAATTAGTCGTTAGTTTTTTATACAGCAGGAGTTTAGTCTGCCAGAACATGGCGACATTGTTACCCACTGTAGATGAGCAATTTAGCCAGTGCGGTACAACCGCTAGCCTGGGGTCTTTAACGTGCATAGTGATACACATCCGCACGCCGGTACGATGCTCATCCAGATCGAAACGGGCAGGGGTGGGGCTCGAACCCAGGATCCCTGGGTTCTGCAGCGCGAGCTTTCGCTCCACGCGCGTCGAGCTGGGTGTGCGCTTTAGCCCACTCGGCCACCGATCCCCCCAAACTGTGAGATCGGTTATTATGTTCAGCAAGGCGGCCCTCCAGCAACAAAGAGGAAGTCAAAGTGAAGACAAACGCCTGGAACAGTTAAGGCCGGTTCTCACATGCTGCGAAGCGCTGATGTAGCGCTTCTCACGTGCCGTCAGCTACTTATCGTCTGCCATGAGCAACAGTTTTGACGGTGCGATACAAAGCTGGTGAACGCTCCCGTCGGCACGCGCTTAGCGCGAGGTAAGCGCTATGCTTGTAGCGCTCCGCTGCATGTGGGAACAGGCCTTTAAGGTCAAAGAGGAGCGAAATGACAAAGAAAAAAAAAAGTTTGCTTATGGTGTGTGCAAATGTACTCGACGCAGGATAATGAGACCTGTGGGGGATACATAAAATTGTCTATATAGTTACGTAGGTATGTGGGCGTGACGTGGTGCATTTCCTGGCGTCCTACGCACTCTTATTTCGTTTACCTCCTAACTTTTGGTTACTTTCTGACTGTCTTTATTTTGTCCCTCGCCTTGTTCTGCCTTATTGGGAAGGAGATGTGCAGTCACTTCTTGAACAGTCCGCTTCAGCTGCTTGGATAGCAAACAAATTACTTGTTCGTTTTATTATTATTATTAGTTTTTGTTAGAAAGATGGTAGACTATACGTTTTGAGCGACGCGCTCGTGTTAACACCGTGCAAAGTGATCAGTGGCGAAGCGAGGAACTTTTTTTTTTTTTTTTTTGCGGCTCTGGGGGTGGTGAGGAGTTGAACGTCAGAGTAGACATTTGCTGGAGGATTTGCTACTAAATTTATTTGAAGTTTTTGGCCGGATCAATGAACGACAGCAGTAAACTTATGACTGGGTTAGTGGAAACAAATTGGTGAGCATTTGCCCGTTGAACTTTTGTTCAGTTCCACAGAAAGTCATAGGGTTGTTGGTAGGCATCAATGAACGTTCAGTTAATCAGCGCCGTGTTCAAGAAAGAAGAATCCCCTCAGCTCGTGATGATGGGTTTTGCAGGGAGACGGCGTTTTCGTCGAGCCCGTGTCCTGCATGCCGACGCACCTCGGAGCCTGTGCCATGTTGATGAGCCGCGTGGTGCTTCACAGTGCGGCAACGGTCTCGTGGATTTTGCCGGACGGAAGCAAGGTTCCGGCCGAATCGGGTCCCAGGGGAGTGCTTTTCCGGATGGGCGCGTCTGAGTGCGAGCACGCGCCAGAGAAGCGCGAGCGGACGTTGTCCGAAAGGTGCTCGGCTCTCCTGCACTCTGATGGCACGTGCACGCTGGAAGTGAGCGACTGCCGGGTGGCAGACTCTGGCGTGTATACCTGCATCGTGGAAGATGATCAGAGTGCACCAGTGTCGTCGGCAGCGCACTTCGTTGTCATGGGTAAGGATCAATTACCTTAATTTTCTCGAAGCCGTGTGGGAGATGATCACTGCGGCGAAATGGGAAAAAACTGACAAAACCCTACCGAGACCGTGGCGTAACCAAATTACGCAGTCACCAGGAAAAAGTCGAATACAGGATACTATGTGATCAGGTAGGTCATTTACAAATGTTAGAAAAAGCAGAGGTCCGAGAACACTGCCCTGGGGGACTCCGGATGCTACAGGAGAACAAGCTGAGGACTGGTTGTTAACCACAGTATGCGGAGTACGATTGGTTAAAAATTGTCCTATCTATGATGTTTCGAGTGGATGCATGTGAAGTTGATTTAGCTTGAGCATGAGTAAACGATGGGATACCTTATCGAATGCTTTAGAAAAATCAATGATTATGGCGTCTGTCTGTATGTTATTATCGTTGTTACTGTGTATTTCATGAACAAGTTGTACTATACTCCGCGACAACTTTTCTTGGCAATGTAGTGGAAGGTACGTCCCGCGTCCCCTCTCCCATTTTGAGTGTACGCAGGCTCTCCTCCTCTCCCCGGAAATGGGGGAGGAGGAGAGCCTGCGTACACTCAAAATGGGAGAGGGGACGCGGGACGTACCTTCCACTGCATTGCCAAGAAAAGTTGTCGCCGAGTATAGTTGTGTTTCGCGAGAATACCCGTGCTGATTTGAAGAAAGGATGAGGTTATTTTCGAAATCTTCATGGCATTTGAATATATTATGTGCTCAAGTAGCTTGCACGGGACACTGGTTAGATATATAGGACGACAATTTGATGGTAAAGTTTGATCCCCCGATTTGTGTATGGGACCACTCTGCCAATTTTCCAATCTGTAGAAAGCTCGCCAGAAGACAAAGATTGTTGGAAGATAATTATCAGAAAACGAGCTGAGCGCAATTTAGTGAAAAAACAGTTAGGGCGCAGGCGAGCTGGTGTAAGTTTACCATTTTTCAGACCACCTGAGACTGGAGACGTCGTCGTGTTTCTTCCACCCAGTCTCGGGTGGTCAAAAAATTGCAATTTAGTGATTTTCAGTAATTTGGAGTTCATTTTGTCGTCCCCAAAATAGAGAGAGAGAGAGAGAGAGAGATGGGAGATGGAGAGAGAGGTGAACTACACGATGCCGACATGAGCCAGACGTCGCCCCCACACATCAGATATACTTCCCCTGTTGCATTTGCAAGTTAGCGAATCGTGGTGATATTTCCTTCTAGGCTCAAAAGAACATCACTCCAACCTTGCTGTAGTTCTTTCGACGAATATTTTTGCGAACGGGCCGCTCCGACAAGTTTCCCGTTCGATTAATTCGCCTAATGCGAATTGCCTCATTCGACGAATTGTTTGTTTACCAGTTGTCCGTCGATGAACGGCCTTTGGACGAATTGTCTATAGACCCCCCAAGCGAATTGACTCGGGGCTCCACCACCAGCCCAAAATATATATATAATTTGTTTTTGTTAGCAACCTTCTTTTGCCCGGTATCAGGATTGTTTGTTTAAAAATACCGGCCAATTGTTGCAATTGGACGTTTCGGTGCGGGGCGACCACTTTTTCGATGAAACGGCGTTCGGTGAAATGTTCTGGAACCCGACGCGTTTCCCGGTTTTTTTTTTTTTTTTTGCTTCGGGGTGATTTTCTTGATTATTGCTTTGCTCGATGCAACTCGGGCGCAGCAACGCATATCAGCCGCCGCTCCCGTGGTCCGGGAACTTTTGTCCCCGACTGTACAATACACCCGCACACAATGGATTACCAACTATTAAGCACCGCGCCCATTTACGATGTTCAACAAAAAGGCCACAGTTTACGTACCGTGAATGATGAATCGCAGACGTTCGTCTGCACCGAAGAAGGCAGTGTGTAAGCTTCCACAGCGAAGGCGTAGGACTTACTCCGCTGCCTCGACGAGGTTGTCGCCAGCGTGCACAGGTCTGTGCACAGTTTTGTCAGACAGTTGCGGTAGGTTGATCAAACTGTTCGTCCACATTCCATGATCGTAAGGCGGAAAACACAGCTGCCGTGCCATCGCACACTGCCCGTACGGTTGTCTCTGATGCCTCCGACGTGCTTCGATACCAACGTTACTAGAACAACTCAGGAAACTACCATAGAGCCTGCTCTGAAAAAGTGGCACCGATCCGTACTCGAGAACCGAGCTAATGGTGATCGCAACGCTTTTTCTCCCGCAGCGGCCACCCGGGGAACTGCACGGCTGCTTGTATTGGATCCGGAGTATCACATTCGATTAGCGGCGAGATGTTTTGGTGGCGCCCTTTTATGGTTCCCCCTTGTGACGTCATTACCTTGCAAACAACAAGTTCGATGGTGTTAGTAAATAGCATGGTGGAAGCTTGAAATCATTGCACTCTCAAAGGAACACTGCCAACACCGTCAAAATTAAAGTTCTTTCATTCCTCTTATTTCGTCAATGATAAATCCCCTTTCCGACGTCATAGTCAGCGTTCGGCCAATCGTGGAAGGCCGACCACAGCGACGCTTTCGGTCGCGCACGTCGCCAATAGCGTCCGCTGCGACTCTTCTGTTTTGGCTTTAATCGGCCATTTTGGCACCGAAACATATACGGTAGAAGGGGTTTCGCGAATTACTAACGAAATTAGGACGCGCCCAGGTCTGCCTGAAATCACCGGTGAGGCATGGTTGTATGAAAACAATATTAATTTTGCCGTAAAACCTTGTAAACTAAAGATGTTAGAAAACATCTCTAGCCTGTTGTTTTGTACTAACCTCCAATAAAAGTTCCTACAAAAAAGTTTTCTTTTTTTTTTTTTTTTTTTTTTTTTTTTTTTTACGCAGAAACATGCTTTTTAAACGCTCTAGGTGACAACAGTCATGAAAAAAGATTGAGCCGCCATCTTGGCACCTCGAGCCTGGGAGTTTAGGTACTCTGGGAACATTCAGTGACTCTAGCAGTAGCCATATAAGGCAACTTTCATGTTTCAATCGTCGCTAAAGGGTGGCGCTATTATCGTATTTAGCTCGGTCTCGGTGGACGTCAACGGCCCGGGTTTCAACGGTGAGTTTCCCAACCGAGTGTTCTAGTAACGTTGTTCGGTACCGGCGACGCTAGCCAACATTAAAATGGCGACGCTCTCGGTGTTGTCACACCACCAAGAAATATACCCCTTTCGAAAGACTGCCCTCTGTTGGCAGCTATGGAATCCCTGTACAATGACGGACTAAACCCGCAACGCCACTGCACAGTTTGTGTTGGGTTGGATTAGAAGGCAAAAACACATCCACAGAGAAAGGTGGTGAGAGCAGTCACGTTGTACTTTCGACGCTGTCTGATTAGCTGGTCGGCTCCTAGCGCTGACCGCGTTCCGGCTATCGCTATTTTATGGAATGACTTGCACGTTCCACGATGTCGGTTGTTCCGCCATTGTTTAATGGTTCCGACTTTCTAATAGTCGGTACGTGACTAGAAATATGTCGCATAAGGTCTGTTACGCATAAGGTGAAATTTCGCATAAGGTCTGTTACGTCGTCAAGCTTTGCAAAGGCGAGACTGACAGAAAAGATCCCCCTTTATCCTTGAAATTTCACCGCGACAAAGAAACTTCTGAATCAGTGGCGTTCTGTGCCACTGATTCAGAAGTCAGACACTTGAGCCAGACTAAGACCATTACGCCCCTGCAAAGTCCATGAACATTCCAACCCGATACCATTTCATGACCCCTTTAAGATTTCTGTACGATAAATATCAGCCCGTTGTTCGTTTTTTCAAATAATACACGGTGTGGAAGTGTTGTTTCGTGCATCAACTAATGATCTCTCTTCAATGTATAGGGAAGCCGAGTGAGCCAGGCAAACCTCACGTTGTGGATGCTCAAGGAACCATGCTGCAGCTACGATGGGAACCATCCCGAGACACGGGAAATTGTCCTATGGTGGGATACCTCGTGGAAAAAAGCATTGCAGGTGACTGACTCTGTGAAAAGTGAAAGCATAGTTCAGGTTGTTTTATGAGAAGCCCTAACGAGAGCCTGGATCACGCATGGTTTACCGCGCTATGAAACCCTCTATCCATGCTATACATGGCTGCACGCCACATCAGCTGCCATTGTGGGAACCTTGCCCTTGCTCCCCAGTGCTTACATTCTGCAGCATACATTTCACACTTCCGAATTCGGCTTTTTGCGGCAAGGATAAGTAGGAACGACCTGCAGCTCGATGTGATGATGTCACGTACAAGCCATGTATAGGCGTTTTCTGTTTCCTGTCCTTCTCAATTACATGTGTTCAATCTCTGGAATGCGGGACGAAAAAACAAAAAAATATTGCAACCTGGAATATGCGAGAAAATATAGGTTAGGCAAAACAAGAATGTGTGACAATCACGCAGTTTTCATAAACACCTTCCAGAGGCGTGGAGAGATCGAAACGATGTTTTAACGCATACCGCAAGTGACGACATTCAAGATGGCTGCGCCCTTTTGGAAGGGGGTATACTTGAGGACTACTTTCTTCGCAATGAAGCCAAATCTACCAAAGCTATTGGTGATCGTGCTCTTGCGCAACTTCAGCTAGGACGAAAGCTAAACACGCAGCGCCACTCCTCCCCATGGCGAGGCGCGCCCGTACCAGTTAGGCGTACGCGGAGCAGACGATGCGGGGGGCTGGTGCGATTGTCGTGCTGCCTCGCGCTTCGTAAAGTACTGTACCGAAAGCAAAAGGGTAGTGAACCAGGCATTTTTATGGAATCAAATGCCACAACATCGTATTAAAGAGGAAGGTAAATATTAGGGCTGGGCGTCGGTTAAAAGTTTAACCCGATTAACCGCCACCCTTTAATCGATTAATTGATCAGTTAATCGATTTCGTTCATTCCCATGCATGCATAATGTTTTTTAGTCAAAATTAAATGTTTTGCCTCTGCTGAATATGTAATAAACGGCGCAGTGACATTTTCGGAGTTTAAATCAACCCCTATATGTAATTCAAAACAGTAAAAAAAAAAAAAAAAAAATACCAACACTTACAAATTATGACAACTCAGAGGTTCGTCGATATTGTCCGGCAATAGCGAACCCCTTTGATTGTTCACAATAGACTCTACTGCGCTAAACGGACACTCGCACGGTGTGCAAGTGGGCGGGAGTTGGACACGTACAAGCTTCTTCGCTTGTTTGGAGTTGCAAGTTTCGCCCCTACAGTTTACTTTAGGTCAAGATGTATCCTAAAGTTCGGCTTCATACAGGTGTGCTCGTCCACGTCTGCGTGGTAAAAGGGGTCGATTTTTACTTGTTTTTTTTTTGTTTTTTGTCAAATTTTAATTAATTAATTGGTAGGTTAATAGATAAAATGCCCAGCCCTAGTAAATATTTGTCTCCCGAAAAGTATTATTCCTTTCCTAGTAGGTGATTAAAAAAAGAGCGCCAGAAGCATGAATCGACAGCTGTGCGGAGGGCAGGTCTAATTACTGTTTCCCTGTCTTGTCGCATAATTCAGCAGTGCAACTATGCTCAATTCACATTAATACGGACTTTTCGTAAACCTCGCGCAAGAGCACGCAGTAGACAGTTTTCATGGCAAACGCCATCAGGCAGCGCTCCAGGTGACGACCCAGAGAACTTCCGGTTTTTTAAAAAAAATGAACATAGCAGCTTACCTTAGCACCGCTGCTTGATATGTTGATGAAACGTTTAACCACCAATAGACCGATCTCACCCGCCAGTTTGGCTGCGCCACCGCTGCCGCAATGCATCGAGGGAACTTTAGTCATTGTGCACGTATGACGACCTCGATGGAGCCATGCGGATGCTGAGCCCGAGGAGGCACGAGTCGTATCGGGCACTGCCGCCTGGCTCATGTAAACTAAAGTTATTGCGGCTTCACGCATGCGCCGAACGCTTGATGGGGTCGGTCTGTTCTCCAGATGAATGCCAAAACAACAAAGAAGCGCGAGACCTGTTAAAAATGTTTCGGATATTCTTGTAATCCAACTTGCTTCCTCCAACACGTTAAATTGTACAGCCCGAAGGCCCTCGTTAAATCTCCAACTTTGTTGTACACGTGCAGCATGTATGCTTTCTAGCGTTGGTGGCATAAGCAAGCTCGACAGGCTTGCAAAGACGGAGCGACCGAAAGTCGTTTGGGACGCGAGCGGCAGTTCATGTGAGCTCTTGTGCCGTCACTTTGAGGGTGGATTGAGCTTTGCGCACGCAGGGACCCACAATCCGCAGCGCCCGCAGGACCCGCGATCCGCAGCGGACGTTCTACGATAAGTGCCTAATATGGCTACGATGCTTCCCCGTGGCTGTCGACAAACGAAACCTGAATATGCATTTACCGTTTTTTACACGACTTTAAATTTGAGAAGCAAGCTCCCTTTTCTAATCTGCCAAGTTTGTTTACTGATGCTTACAAAAGAAAGCGAGCAAGCGTCGAAAGACATGAGGTAAAATGAGACAGATAATCGTAGCCCGCATTGCGCACTTAGTTAAATGCATAGTTGAAAAAAAAAAATAACTGACGGCTTCACTCTAGCTTTTATATATTAAAAGGATGTAGTTAGCCTGCAGCAGGCATGATTACTTTTCAAGGAACTCTAAAAAAATTAGAGACTAGAACATTTCTGGATGACCGCTTAGAACGTGTTGGCAAAGTTAGATTGTATAAAAGGAAAGCAACACACATAAGATCAGGGCAGGAAAAGGGACAAAGATAAATAACTGAAAATGTATGGCTGAACTTAAAAGTTAATTGCATTTTTCGCAGAGAGAGAGAAACATAATATTGACGATTTCCTGGCGCAAGAGTTTTAGATATATCAAGCATAACTGCGCCTAAACAGCGAGCAAGACAAACAAATCACGCAAGAAAACGAATTCGTAGTCACCTGCAGCTGTGTTCAAAATTATCATTCTGAATTCACACAAAGAAAGGAAGATAAAAAAAGACAGTATTGGAGCAAATGTACGTCGATCGGCGATCACTCTTTTACCCATAAAAGAATGAGCGTGGTTACAGACGCACGTGCGTGAATTGCAATTCTATCACTTTAATGGAAGTGGTGCATGTGCGCAAACACAACAAAATGTCGCGGCCTAGTAAAATATTTTCTTTTGTTGATTTGTTCGACCCGCTCAAAATACCTGGGAACAGATGAGCTTCGGTTTTTTATACAGCTTGACCTAGTGTTGCGGTCTGGCTGTGCATGCCTCGTGATTGACTGCATTGGCATGGATTAAAACAGCTGCGGCATGCTTCCAGCAGCCGGTAATTCCGACTTTCTAAGAGCACTTGCCTCAGTTCAAGCAGTGTGTGTACGACAGCGCAGCTGTGCGTGAAAAGGCAATTTAAACAATATGGCATCCACATATTTCTCCGAATAGCTCTGAATTTCGAGAGCGAGCGAAACCATAAAGAAAAGGTTGAATTTTTCGCCGACAATGTGCGAAGAAGCGAAAGTGGTAGCTGTATATATGGGCAGGAGGTCGAACTATGGGGGGCGCTCTGGCCCGTTTGTTTCCCCACACCTCGGTGTTTACTCAACACAAGTCCTGTGCACATGCCCACAGGCCTTGTGGGCATGTCCATGTCATCTTCTACAATAGAGCGCGGGGTACAGTGTAATGTAAAAAATACTAACAGTCGACGAAGTGACGTAAAGTGCCGGATCTATCCCGAAAGTAGTCGTCAGAGGATGCGAGCTTGACCCACTTGGGCTTTTGTGCTGAGCTGGGCACGTGCATATTGCATTGCTCATGCAGGCCGGAGTAGTAACAAATGAGCCCCTTGTCCCCCTCACCGGAAAACACGAACTCCGAACGCTGACGCCGCGTTCGGTTATGTCGGCCGAGCGCTGAGTCATTGTATTCGTTGTCCCCATCCGTGTAGTTCTAAAGTTAGCCGCTTGGCGCGTCACGGTCAGTCCTCCTCCCCAATAGCATGGTCGCGCAATGCGGGTGGAATGGTCCCATCGCGTACCCGAGGACGGAGGTACGACGCGTGGAAGGGCGGTGAACTTTTTACCGCGGTTAAAGTTATCCGGCTTGATGCAAACGGGCCCTGAGTTTCTTCAGTTTGGCCAAGAAGCTCTCCCTTCATACATACAGGGTGTTACACGTAACTTTAGCCAAAGTTTACAAACATCTTGGTGCATTTTAGAAAGACGAAACCAAAGGAATAAGTTTGTTAACTGCTTGGTGCTCGACCAACGAGAAACTCGTGGGACACTCGATCAAACGCTTGACTGAGATCCGTCTGCAGTACCGCTAATGGTTGATAACCTTCGGCTCTCGCTTCACAGGCAAAACGCATGACCTGAAGGTTGCGATAAATGGACCGTCCTTTCAATCCGTAGGTTTGGTGCTCTCCGATGACGTTTTTCAGTCCAATGTCCAGACGCTGTGCCAATATAGTCGGCGTTATCTTGTAGTCTGTGCTTAACAGACTTATAGGACGGAAGTTTGTTACTTCGGGAATTTTGCCTCAGGTTTGTACTTTTGGAATCAAAACAGTGGAACTCTCTTTCATGGATGGTGGAAGTAGCTGTCTTTCTTGTATGTCTTGAAAGATTGCCAGCAGAATGTGGCAGATGAGGAGTGTAAACATCTTATAAAACTCTGAGCCTATTCCGTCCAGGCCCGCCCATACAAAAAATGTCCTATGGTCGGCTGTAGAAAATTCTTTGTGTGGTCGGATTTAGCTATTTGGCCCAATTAGCTAAAGAATTTTCTATGGCTGTCCTTAGCATTTTTTATGGTCGTTTTTATGGGCCTCTTTAGCTTTGTCTATGGCCCTATCGCTGTCCAGCCATAGCGCTCTTTAGCTTTTCTAATAGCTGGCTAAAAACATTCTATATGGCTTACCCTACGGCTCTTTTAAGCCGACACCTATAGCTTCCTATTGCTTTTCTTTTGGTTTCTTCAGCCATCATAGCTTTTTACATGTTCTGCTAAAAAAATGTCTGTGGGTCGCCTTCTGACCCTCTATAGCCAGCATGCTATAGCTGCCTATGACTTTTTCCTTTGGTGTCTTAAGCCATTTATATAATCTGTTAAAGAAGGTTGTATGGGTTTTCCTATGTCTCTCTTTAGCCAGCACACTCTAAAAACAATATTTTTCAAGTTACCCCGACTTTTGAACGCTACATGGTAGATACAGATACGTCACTGAACACACGGAATACACAGAACACAAGCAGGACACTAAAAACTTGGGCCACTGTATATGTGCTGTTTTCCACAAGGCGGGAAAGGCTTGAGTTCAAAATCGGTACGAGTGCGGGGATGAATATTGCACTATAGGCCTTCAGTAGGACCGACGGAATACAATCGTGGCCAGAGGACAAAGACGGCTTCATCCTCTTTACGCACTCGTGTAATAGTTCCTCATAAATTAAAAAAAAAAAAATGAATAAACAGAAACGCAGTACAAGTTGCATTGCTAAAGTCGGTTGGTGCGATATTTTTGTGAAACTTCGGTTCGTGCCTAAATGCGGATTGGAAGTGGTGGGCAAACGTTTCACGAACATCTGTGGTCGAGTAACTCACAAATCTGATCTCCTTCCCAACTTTTGTCTGGGATCGAGAGTGAACATGTTTCCAAAACTTCGGATTTTGTCTTAAATGTATAACTTATCAACGTACGCTTGACGATCACGCTTCACGATTCCCTTAATAATAATAATAATAATAATAATAATAATAATAATGATTAATAACAGCAGTAGTAGTAGTAGTAGTAACACTAGTAGCAGTAGTAGAGAAAATTAGCAATCCTTTTAAACGAGCGTTGACTATATACTTCTTTATCTTCCAACCGAGCACCTCTATTGCAGGCCTGGATTCATGGGAAATAGCGGGGCCTCCCACAGCAAGATGCACTCAGACTGTGCACTGCGATCCTGGCTGTTACGTGTTTCGTGTGTTAAGTAACACCGAACTGGGAACAAGTGATCCCGGCCCAGTTTCTGAGCGGATTAACGTCACAGGTGGGATTCAAACTTCCGTCGGAAATAATCTTTCTGGAGCTTCTTCTAAGAAATTTTAACTTCAGATCAAAGAGCAGTGTCCCAATGTCGACAATGCTAATCTAATGCCATCCTGTATTGCCCACCCCTATAATGTAGCGGATCCGTGACACGGGTCAGAAAATGATTCACATGACGGCACTCTGTTTTATCAAAATTTCGGGTCATGGCGTCACTCTTTCTTTTTAGTTTTAATACATACTACATTATGCTCGTAATCTCATTCAGTGAATTGGATGCCACTCTCAAACTGAACGTGTTTCCTCGTTTTCTGTAGACGACATTTGCCACGCGCAGTCAGGGGTTGTCCTGTGGAGGAAAGACTTCTTGGACCATTACCTTGAGGTAGCTGAATGTGGAAGGTAAGAAAGTATCAGTTACATTATACAGCTCGGGTTAGCAGCGATGGTGCTGTAAAATCATCTCAAGAACAACAATAAACCGTGTTCACCGAAGCAATTTTGTTCGCTCGTCCATATCGATATTAATTTTGTTTCTCAGTTTTATATTTCTGGTACAAGATCAAATTTAAGGTAATTTTCATCGAATGACATTAAAAAAGAAAAGAAGACATTATCTGGTCGGCCAATCTGCGAGCGCCACTTCTGGCGCAGCGCGGTGCTCGCGCGACGCTCGTGGTCAGGGTCGCGATCTGATTCGCCGATCTTTTATTGTCAGTCGATGGAAATGACATTAGATGTTGCCGTGTGGTAGGGATATCGTAGTACCGCCTAACGCCTCACCTTAGCTTACTGCAGTCAACTCTACACGTGCAGGTATCGCTTCAGCATGTTCCTCCCATGCACGACCGTTTGTGCTATACCAAGCTACCTTGTACAGCTAGGCTCGCGCTCTCCTTTCGCAGTACGGTGAGATTTGTGCGAGAGCGCGTGAAAATGAACTGTTACAAACAGCACTAGCCTAACGCGAAACAGTCCTTGGCTCACGTGCAAAAAAAGAGATCAGTTGTGTCGTGGACACGGGTGAAAACGAGTATTTATGTGGACATGGGCGTACCAACCGGGGGGGGGGGGGCAAGGGGGGCGCAAGGAGGGCGCAAGGGGGGCGTTTGACCCCCCCCCCCCCCCACAGTTCTCAGAGTGGAGGGCAAGGCATGTGTTTTGCCCCCCCCCCCCCCCCTGAAACAGCCGCCACTGGGCGGGGCAAACACTGGCCGGTGGCGCCAAAGGGATACCAAGGGCACCGCCCCCCCGGCCCTAGGGGGGGGGGGGGGGAGGGAGGGGGGAGGGGGGTCTGGTTTGCCCCTTCCACTCAAAAGCAAGTTGGTACTCCACTGTATGTGGAGACGTCAATAAGGTGCTCGAAGTATCTTAAAGGGCCCATGAAACGAATTTTGGGTTGGGATGAATGATTTTAAATTGGGACTTTACTAATCGCATATCGTTTAGTTGGCCAAAAGAAAGAGGGTAGAAAGTGAAAAGCCAGCTTTTCAGTACGAACATTTGAAAATATAGCGGGCTATTTTGTACCTTCTTGTCTTCGAAAGCTCTCCGTCTTTTCACTGTGATACATCCGCGGTTCCAAAGGCGCGTCACCGGCGCCAAACTGACGTCAGCTGAGCCCAGCTTACGCATTGGACACGAGAACTGCGTCACTCGGACGTATGCGCTCGTCAACAATCAATCCGTCGACGAATATTTGGATTCGCGTTCGTGGCCAATGAGTGCCCTGACGGAACTTATTGTCACTGGCGAATGGCAAGTTCTATGGTGTGCATAAAAAGCACGGTGGAAGCTAGGAGTCATCGCACCGGTGCCGAAGGAATGTCACGACCACGTGATTTCACAATTCGCATTTGAGTTGAGGATTAAAGCTAAGGAGGAAGAAGTAGGAAAATCGTTTCATGACCCCTTTAAGCACAAAGAGTGAAATATCTGACATGCTACGTAACTTTTTACAGGGGACGATTTTCTACTGTCAAGAAATGCATCCATAATAAAACTGGTGATCGGGTAGGTTTTTATTTTTGTTTTCTTAGAGCGATCGAACGAAATTTTCGGCTCATCTGAGTTCTTCGAGGAAGAGTGCCTTTCCCATTTTATCAGTGAAATGTCCTGCGTGTTCAAGGCTGCGGAACATTCTTGATAACTAGATTTTTGCTTGTGAACTGCCGTAGCATTAACATAATGAATTTTCAAAATTATATCATCTTGGTGTACTTTCTTACTGCAGGTAGCAGCTAAGATGATTAGCGGTCAATACCAGCCCTGCTCAGTCGTAGAGCACGAGTGTCAAATCCTGAGGGGCCTCCACCACCGAGGACTCTTAGAACTGTTGGAGTGCTACCGAACTCCAACCAGCTGCATTCTCGTGTTCCCATTGTAAGTCTTAGCACTCCATTGAGACTCTCAAAGATCTCAACTTTTTACAAAACGGTATTGTCTTGTTTCTACAGTGTTGATGGTCTGAGGCTCTTTGAACATATTTGCCTGAGGTGGGCCTCTTACAGCGAGCATAGCATTTGCATCTACATTCGCCAATTGCTAAATGCTCTGGATTACCTTCACATGCACGGGATTGTTCACCTTGATATCAAGGTGAGATTTTTTTCTTATTGCTAAAAGAAATCTCGAAAAGATAGAAAACCGGAATAGCATATCGCCACGCTCCGTTTCGCCGTAACTTTGCAAACGCCGGAGCCAGCGGCCACAGTGAGCCAATCAGTGTGTCGGAGCGAAGCACGTGACAACGTATTGTTGGAGTGCACTCCTTTGGCGGAGGGAAGTCACGTGCTTCGTTGGCTCGAGGGTGTCGAGGCGTTTTCTCTTTGCCAAGATAGGGTGAAACGAACTATATGGCTGTAGAAGTAATCGATTAACCTGCCATATTGCCTCGCGAATGCACCACTTCACGCCACCGAACCCTTCGCACGAGGGTATAAAACAGTACGACGGGAGACGGAACGGCGAGACGACTTGGGACCAGCGACCGGTAAAGACACCGACATCGCGTCTTCTACATTATTCTCAATTTGACCATGTAGCAATCAGTTAACTAAATAAAACGGTAGTGTTCTTTATCAACCGTTCCATACCATTTTTACTTCCGAGTCGGGTCAGGAACAACCTAAGACGCTACAAACTTATAAGTTAATTAATCAACCGCTGATTAATCGGTCAAAGATGCATTTTTCTTGATGTGGGCACCATCTTCGTCATGGCCGAACTCAACATGAACTGTGTGAACTATTTTCCAGACTATAGTCCGCGGACTATACGTGTTTAAAAGTTTAAATTTTACCCGGTGCGGACTATCTACAGGTGCGGACTATACAATGATTCGTTTTTTTTAGATCGTTCACTGCGACAAGTTGTGAAGGATTTTATGAATGACGGACTATATTAAGGTCGATTTATGTACGATAAAGCTTCTTTGTAAGCTATACAGTACGCATTTGTGAAGGTGTGCTGTGTATGATAGCTGTGTATGACACTTTTTTACGTTCGGACTAGGCACTAAGTGCGGTCTATCCACGGGGTGCGGACTATACTCCGGAAAATTTGGTATGTTTTTTTTTTTTTTTTTCGCATCTGTCTTATGTTTGAATCAATTTAAAGGGCAACTCCGCTCAGTTCCGAAAATTTCGGGATTATGAGGTATTTCACATTGTGGGAACCACGTGTTCACCTATCTAGGCCTAGCCACGGCAAGCCGTGGGGCGTCACCATGTCGGGGCGCATCCCGAATGCGAGACGAGGCCCTATTCTCTTGTGGACGGCTCTCCCTCGCTTTTCTCGGGTAATTGGCCTACAGTACATCCTTCGGGATTTTGATATTTAGACCGTCCTCCCCTCCCAGGGAACGAACCTACTTCCGACAACAACGGCCAGACGCTCTCGTCAGGGGAGGCACTTGGAAGCTTTATTTGGGGCTCTCCCCCTTTCCGTGAATCTGTCTCTTGCGGCAGCGCGGAGTCCGACCCGTGATCCTATCACATTAGGGAGTTTTCATAGGTTGTTTTCGCTGTCCCGCAACGTTTTCCGCAACCAGTTACAAGATCCGGGGCTCTGCAGGCAAGGATGTCGCGCATGCGGAGTAGTGGATTCTTCGGAGAGCATAGCGGAGGTGGGAGAACGGTTATGAAAACTCCCTATTGAGGCAGCGCCGATACTACGGACTTTATCGAGGGAAAAGCGTGTTGGCATCAATAAACACGGCTTTCTACAGACCCACATACCTACTGGGTTGTTACATGGCAAAGATGGCAAAGATGGCAAAATTACTTTTCGAACGTAATTAAATTACATTACTCATTACTTTTATCAAAAGCACGGAAATGTAATTAAATTACATTACAAATTACCGCAGACTAAATGTGATCACATTACGTTACAAATACTTTTTGAGAAGTAGTGAAATTACTCCGAAATTAGTTTTCAGTTCCTTCAGGTAGAAATTCGTGCCCGTGACGATGGAAGTGTTAAACGTAACGTAGAGCTTCTTAAAATACGACTAAAACAGACAGCTTAACATATTTGCTGTTCATTCAACGGCTAAGTTGAGCGTTGAATGGCAGATGTGATTCCGTCCTCCTGATTTCGGAGAAGTCGTCCACTTCGATTGGTCCGGCCATAGCAGCTCGTTTTTACATGAAGTCGTAACGACTGTTGTGAGATGTGCTGAACTGCCCCTTATGGAGCTTTTGGCGGACGGTATCCGGTCGTTCTCGAATTCTTTTTGCACACACTAGGTTCAGGAAATGCCTAGAAATTTTCTTCTCACTCGAACGCAGTCGAAACGTTTTCTCTCAAGAGCACTGGTCGACCCATTCCCGGACATTCTTCTCGAGAAGTATTGATCCATATCACCAGAAGTGCGCGAATTATCGCGCGTTGTCACGCAAGGGGGCCGGATGTTTTCTGGGGAGAAACGCCACCAGAGCTGGACGCCTCCTGAAATGTGTCCTTCGCTAACGAACCAGCAACTCTATCTGCGGGTTTGCTTTTTCCTGATATAACTTCACAAGACGAGCCTGGTTTGCTTGCGTTTTGCCGTTTTCGACTATATTACGTTCACACATAAGCTCATAGTGCTATGGTAGCTACGCGCCCGTCAGAGCAGTCAATTGCCTCCCTTTCATCATTTGACTTTGCTCTCTGCGCGTTGGTCTTGGCGGCATACTTGGGTAGTAATTTAATTACAGTAATTTAATTACTTTTTGGTAACTTGTAAGTGTAATTAATTATTTTTGGATTAAAGGAACTGTAAATGTACGCGGGACAAATGTAACGAATACTATTGTATAACGACGCAAAGTTCAATCCGCAAAGTGTTAATAATTGTTAAGCCACAGCATGACACACCACGGTTTCTTGCAATTTAGTTTTTGTTTTATTCTTGTTGTTTCCCTTTATTTTTCTGTAGCAAAGCCTTGGGGGGGGGGGGGGGGGGGGGGGGGGGGGGGGGGGGGGGGGGGGGGGGGGGGGGAAGCACTTGTACAATTGGACTGCCCGTTCTAACGAACAAGCGCTTAAGTGAGATGGATTTGGAAAGTGTATTTTGGAAGAAAACCTGAAATAAACTATTCTAACTATTATAATTGCAATTTAATTACTTTTTAGCGTCAGAAATTGCAAAATTTCACGCACAATTACAATTACTTTAGCAAGACTTTGCGGTGCCGACGGTACCTCTCTGAAAGCGTGAGCGCTCGCACGAGCGGCCTAATGCTCGGTGACACTCGCACTCACACGCACAGCAAAAATAGCGTCGCGATGTTTGCTTTTGTTGCTTACACTGCGGGCTGAGAGAGAATCCTCTTTGGAGCCTACCTGAACGGCGCCGCGTGGCGCCGCCTACGGTGCGAGCAGAAAACAACAACGTAAACATGCCAAAATATTCAGAGAAAAAAAAAATTAAGCTTCAGCTCTTGGCGTAGGTTGGGGAATTTAATTGTCTACGAAGTAATTTTTTTTTCGTTTTTGTACGTTTTTTACTTCTCTTTCCAGTACTGTCGCGTATTTGTATCTTTGTATTATTTGCAAGTTTATTTCCTGCTAGTTTTACTTCGGATATTATTTGTATAAGTATTTTGTAGACTGACCTCGCACCTGTGAATATCGTCACTAATGCTTCAGGAGCCCCGATTCGGGGCTCCCGAATCGTCGCATTTTTATTTGCCTGGCTAATAAAAGTGTGTCAATCTAATTTTTACTTTAGCGATCTGGCGTGTTCAAGTATATTAACTAATTTATTATTATTTAAGTAAAATAGAAGAACGTAAGACTTTATTGCCCCAAATTATTAAGTTGTATCATTAATTTAACGAAATTTAAAGAAAAAGAAAAAACAATACGTGACATTTATGTACAAATGTGGTGCACTCTATACAACTTGTTTAAAGTTATATAGCCCAAGAATAATTGTAAACCAATTGCATTACTTTTAATGCTAATTTGTATTGTAATGAATTACTTTTCACGTGGTCGTCATCGTAGTTAAACCACTTTGGAGCAGAGTAATTGTAATTAAATTACACTTTGAAAGCAATTTACCCATATATGATTGGCGGGTGCGTCATCAAGTGACGAAAAATTGACGAGCGCGGCTTCTAGTGCACTGGCAGCTTAGGGGTGAAGGGAACATACGAAAAGCATATTCACCAACGAAGACAAAGCGACTCACGAGAAGATTGGATCCTTGGCAAGAGGTTTAAGATGAACTCCTGACTCCTCGTCACAGGTTTTAAAATGTGTTGATCCTCTTAGTGACGCGCCCTCCACAGCGTGGAAAAGTCCCCGATGACTTGGCGCCGTGAATCCGTCTTAACTAGTGTTTCGTGAACCGTGGCCTTCCAGCTATGGCTTCTCTCAAAAGCTTTTCTTCATCCGCTCACCTTTCGACCCCACCTTTGTGTGTTCGTCTCGCTCTCGACTCCCGCGTCACAGATTTTGTTCTCAGATGGGCATCGGAAAAAAGGAATTATTATTTCATTACATTACAATGCATTACATTACTAAATTACCAGTATAGAAAAGTCATTAATTACATTACTCACCACAGCAAAAAGTAACTTAATTACAGTAATTTTATTACAGTAATGTCATTACTGCCATTTCTGTTACGTGGTACCCCCCAAAGGGGAAGCCCATACATTCAAAAGAACTAATCAAAGGCACTACGTCATTTGCTTCGCGAAAAATGTGATATATTTTATGAAATTTTAGTTTAAAAATGAGCACAAAGCGAAACGGAAACTTCGACTCCGTCGGGCAACATTGGCCTTGGGCCGCCAAAGACACGGCTACCACGCGGTGCGAGTGGTCACGTGATCCCCTGCGCGAAGACGGGCGTGATTGGGACGGGCCACCGTTGGGGCGGGCCTGTGCAAGGCACCCCCGCATGGGGCACCTGTGAAAGCAGGTGTTTGGAGAGTGGCGTCTCCACGGACCCCGAGCCATGCGGGTTCGCCCGCCCACGTATGGCTGTGCGTGGCTTTCCCGTGTCCGGGGAAAAGGGCATCCAGGTGGTTGAGCCGAGCCCGGGGTAGGTTTGGACCCTTCGGGGCCCCCCGGGTGAGGCAATACACCACTTCGGC